TCATTTCAGAAGTCAAAAAGATTTTATTTCCCTAGACTCAAAAGATATATTTGAAGCTAAATCTAACTATTTAGCTAGAATAATATAAGCTGATAACAATTTATTAAGTGATTTCAATAGCATTATTGTGTTGCATAAGTTGGAAAGTATCTGCATCTAAAAGTGAATTAGATAATAAGAATTTAATTAAAGTGGCAAAATTGTATGGGATTCAAATATAAATCAAATATAACTGATCACAGAGGTGATCGGCAAAATGATATTCTAAAAAGGCCAGCAGGTGGCAGCAAGTGATTGCATTACCAAACGAGTCGTTTGTTTAACCGATTGAATGTTCGTTCAGTAAGATTTGCAACTGAATGCATTGAATCCAGCCGTTCTCAAATGGTATAAAGATCATCGTACTCAATTTTACTTATTTATAACATTACTCAGCTTAATTAATTTTTGACAAATGTCTGATAATACTGCTAAAACAATAAATTTTATTTTATATAAAACAATAATAAATAAATGGTGGAGCTTTTTGATTTTGTTCTGTAAAAAGTGTTTTGATTGATTGATAAAAAACTTGATTGGCTCTAAATCCTCTAAAAAATACAAGTTATGTCCTGCCAAACAAGTCTCAAAAATCCCGCACATTAATGTGTCCTAAATCGCATACTTATGCACTATTCTACACCATTTTGTAAGTATAGCGTATAGTGTAGGTAGTGCGTTCGCACTGAAAGAATGAGTGCACTTTAAAAACCCGGATGATGCACTCGTTCATCCAGTAATATGAAATGCATACTGTTGGACACTTAACACACTCATCGGCCGCAGCTTTGCTCATGTAAAGGAAGGGGCACTGATGTTTGATTACTTTATTTCTTTTAGATTATGAAAGCAGTATTTTCATACGAGAGTGATTATAGCGCCTCCCGGTGGTAAAAGCGGTTATACATATTGCAGCCATTATTTGGTTGTTTGGTCATTTATTTCACTAATTTGGCAACCGTCAAACGTCATCTGGAAAACGGTTTGATTTTCTGCTTAGTTAAAACCTATTAGTGTTTCATTTGAGACGACAATAATGCTGCGTCCCAATCCGCATACTGGCATAGTATTTGAAAATAGAATTAGTATGTCCCAAACCAAAGTATGTTGAAAAGAATATTCCAGAGGTACCCGGATGGTTTGCTATTTACGGTAAAAAATTTAAGTGTAGAAGCATCCTTACTCTAACCGCTGATCTTCCCCACAATACATTGCGCATTGGACGCGAATTCGATTAGAACTACAAACGTGTGTGAAAAGTGTAAAAAAAACTACAAACATGATGAACACGTGAGACCAAGTATAGAGGCTTCGGTAAAGATGTTTGAATGACTTTTAGTCAATGTCTAGCCAGCCCACAGGAAAATATTTAAATTGCATTTTCTGTGTTATGTTTCATTTGCAACAACAATACTGACCTTATATAAAGACGCATTTGGACGTCTGAACGTCTGAATGCAGAATTATCCAAAGACCTGAGGAGATTTCTTTGCATAAAAGACTCATGAATTGGAGATTAACCTGCTGCTGCTTCTCCAATAAGGTAGGAAATTAATACAACAGCAAACAATACATACTTTTAGGGCATAGTATAAGTATGCGAATTGGAAGGCATGCATAAGCCTACTTACTTATGCTGTTGAGTGTATAAGTGCATAAGGGCATAGTGCATAAGTGCATATAGTGTATAGTGTGCCATTTGGGATGTAATTCAAAGGACAACTAGCTCATGTGCATTTTCAAATGCACATTCAGTGGTTCATAAATACATCTAACATACAGTAGTTCATAAAAGCATGAGGAAAGTAATCCAACAACTTCATATATACATAACTGTTAACATTTGTATTTATTTAAGATGTATTAGGGCATTAGGGAAATATTTTTGCTTTTTACTTTTGAATTGATGAATTGTGTGTTGAATTTACGAATTGTGCTGTGCATTTATGAATTTTATGAATGCAAATGTATTATTTGTGAGACTGATATGGCTCCATTGGAAACTACCTAAATGCATTCAACAGACTTTTATGATAGTGTATTCAACTCCGAAAACTGGACTAACACATTTTCAGATTACTAGAACTTCTATGTTAAGCTGCTTTGATACAATCTACATTGTAAAGGTGCTATATAAATAAACATGAATTGAATTGAATTGAACTTGTCCAACTGCTCGATAACACAAATATCTAATCAGCCAATCACATGGCAGCATCTCAATGCATTTAGGCATGTAGACATGGTCAAGATGATCTGCTGCAGTTCAAAGCAAGCATCAGAAGGGGGAAATGTGATTTAAGTGACTTTGAATGTGGCCTGGTGGTTGGTGCTAGACAGACTTTTCACACACAGACATCTCTAGGGTTTACAGAGAATGGTCAGAAAAAGAGAAAATATCCAGTTAGCGGCAGTTCTGTGGGCACAAATGTCTTGTTGATGTCAGAGGAGAATGGCCAGACTGGTTCGAGCTGATAGAAAGGCAACAGTAACTCAAATAACCCTTTGTTAAGACTGAGGTATACAGAAGAGCATCTCTGAATGCACAACACATCAAACCTTGAGGCGGATTGAGCTACAGAAGCAGAAGACCACACCGAGTGCCACTCCTGTCAGCTACAGTAAAAACAGGAAACACACCAAAATTAGACAATAGAAGATTAGAAAAACATTGCCTGGTCTGATGAGTCTAGATTTCTGCTGCCACATTTAGATGGTAGGGTCAGAATTTGGCATTAACATCATAAGAGCATGAATCCATCCTGCTTTGTATCAACGGTTCAGGCTGGTGGTGGTGGTGGTGGTGTACGGAATATTTTCTTGGCACACTTGGGGCCCACAACTGAGCATTGTGTCAACACCACAGCCTACCTGAGTATTGTTGCTGACCATGTCCATCTTTTTATGACCACAGTGTACTCATCTTCTGATATAGCCTACTTCCAACAGAATAATGCATCATGTCATAAAGCTCAATGTATCTGAGACTGGTTTCTTGAACATGACAATGAGTTTTCTGCACTTAAATGGCCTTCACAGTACAACACAGCACCTTTGGATGTCATCATGGATGTGCAGCTGACAAATCTGCAGCAACTGCGTGATGCTATCATCAATGGTGTAAAGTAATTAATTACAAATACTCAAATTACTGTAATTGAGTAAATTTTCCTCAGAAATTGTAATTTACTAAGTAGTTTTAAAAATGTGTACTTTTATTCTCACTTGAGTACATTTTTAGTGCAGTATCTGTACTTTTACTCCACTACTTACCTTCATTCTGCCGTCAATAATTAATTTTTTCTTGTTTATGAGGATTAGAAAAAATAGTTCTATGATTCCTGTCCAATCGAATCGCATAGAATGTAAATCACATCATAATGAACTACCTCAAGACATGGGCACTTTATAATTGCAGCAAACTGTTTGGAAGCATTAAAAGTGTCCAAGATGATGTCCAAAAGCTTTACATGCAATGACCCAGAGACTGTTTAGATGCATGTCACTGATGAGAAGATATTTACAGTATGATGACCGAAATGGTCTTAAACACGCAGCAGGGATAAGACGTCAACATGACATCAGATTGACGTTGAACCCTAACGTCATGGGGACGTTGCATTTTGTTTGGAAATGAAAATCGGGTTGATGACAGAACGTCAGACCAACGTCAATGTCCAACCTAAAACCAACCAAATATCAACGTTTAATAATGTCACAGCTTGAAGTTGTGTGGACATTACCACTATGATGTCTATCAGATGTTGGATTTTATTTGCCATACCTGATGAATAAATGTCAGTATTTGACGTCAATATGATTTTGGTTTAAGATGCTGGCTTGACGTTGGATTTTGGTCACTTTCTAACAACCTGAAATTAACATCATTTATTGTCATTATTGGACATCAAAATAACGTTGTACTTAGACACTGACTAGCCTTTGAATTTTGGTCACCTGACATCACAACCTAAATCTAACCTAATATTAAATTATGACATTGTGTGCCTGCTAGGCTATAACTAAATGCACTACAAAATGTTACGTTTACACACACAAGCTCGAATTACATGTAAACGCATCAGCTTTATACAGCGTAATACTCACTACTCTTGAGTACTTTTGAAAGGTCTACTTTTTACTCATACTCTGAGTAATATTTACAGGACATACTTTTACTCTACTTGAACTACATTTTTAGGCAAGTAGTGGTACTTTTACTTGAGTATGACTTTCAGTACTCTTTCCATCACTGGCTATCATGTAAATATGGAACAAAATCTTGAATATATGCCAAGAAGGATTAAGTTTTACAGGCAAAAGGGGGTACAACGCGATAGTAAGGTGTACCTAATAAAGTGGCCAGTGAGTATGTGTGCGTGTGTGTATATAATAATGCTTAAAGTATTTGTTCTAAGACGTTCTGTCAAACGAAAATACGCCTGGATTTGGTGTAGACTGTGGACCAAAAGCAGAGGATATCCGTCTTACCCTGCTCTGGTGAGAGAGGGCGCTCTATACGCAGATAGCACACATGCGTCGCAGAGACGTCTGCTGGACATCCGCGTTTTCATCTGGGAGACGTCTTATTCAGGGCGTTTGCTCATCTGGAAAACGTCGCATAGACGTCCTTGTCATACATTCTAACAACGTCTATGCGATGCATTACAGATGTTCATTTTTAAAATGTTAGGTCTGTGAGACATCTTATTTATGTAGCATAGACGTCGTTTTTTTTATTTGTTTATTTAGACATTCCTTCATTCATACTGCTATAAATAACAGTTACAGGTACTCTGGTTATACATCCGTCTTCACATAAGCTAAAGTATATCCACTCAAAATGAAAAACACAACGGCTGAAGAATTATTTGTAGAATTTTATTATATTATAATTGATTAGAATTCATATTTTTTGAAGCAAACAAAACCAAATAGCAGCAAATAAATAAATTTAAAAAAACAACTGGCTTAAGAGGCCATTCTTCCTGGGGCCAAGCGGAGAAAGTCTTTCAAATATTTTTCGGCTTCTGCCTCTGTTGGAGACGGAAGCACGGGGTTCCTCATAGCTGCACCTGTTAAAAAAAGAAAAAATATAAAGAAATTAAAATAAGGCGGTTTTAAGAAGGCTCAGGGGGTGTTTTATTTTATTGTGAGCCTTTTATTTTTATCTGACCAAAATTAATACACACCATATTAATTATTGCATTTGACTACATAATAATAATAATAATAGAGTGGAAGAAATAATACTATGATTGTTTGAAATGCGTTTAGCTAAATGGCATATCGTCTATTTTAGATAATGATCGTTAACACCATTTTTTAAATCAGTTTAGCCTACCTTTATTTGATTGCTGTTCATTTGTTGTTGAAATACGGCTTAGATTGGAAATATTTTCACTATTCGATCATGCACCGTCCTCATGTAATCAATATCATATTCTTTAAAATGTTACTCTCAAATAAATTAAGCTATAGCTTTGAAAAAAATTGATGTCAAATAGAAACGAGAGGTGCAAAAGCTTAAATCCGCCATAAAATGAATAAAGAAAAAATAACAACAACAAAAACAAGTGTACTTGCATTAGTATGCATTTGGACAACGTGGTCAAATTCAAGGAATCGACTCTTTTGTGTTCGAAACTTCATCACTATTGCGCATGTTTCCTCAAAGCATCACACTCAGCACGTAGAAGACACCAGTCCACGCGGGAATACTGAGGTAAGCAGTCTGATTCATTGTTATTGATATGTGTGGTCAGTAAAATATTTATTCCACTTTGTTTGTAGTAAATTTAACAAGGTAATAACTTTATTTAGACGAATAAAGCTATGTTTAAACACGTTGTGATGACAACTGACCAAGCAGCAGTTCAAGGTGATTAGGGCTAACTTAAATTTCGGGAAAATTTGTTCTTTAAATTTATTAGATTAATATCATACGACAAATTGACTGCTAAATAATGAATACTGTAAAAGTGTACATATGCATTATACTGTAGTGCTGGGAGATTATTCGAAAATCGAAACCTAAATCCATAACCGACATATATCCCCACGTGGCGATTTAATGCATGTACCGTCCACATGTGCTTCAGCAAAGCTCAAGCGAATGCAGGCAATGTGATTAATAATCAGAGGCATGACAGATTTTCTTTTTGATTATATGACCTATAATTTGTGAAGCATAACTCACTTTTTTTAGCGTTTATTCATAATCAAATCGACTGAGGTTTTGTTTTTATTATTTCTAGTTATCACATACAAGGTAGGTGCAGTAATCAGCACTATCGCCTCACAGCAAGAAGGTCTCTGGTTCGAGCCTCGGCTGGGTCAGTTGGCATTTCTGTGTGGAGTTTTCAATTTCTTCCCGTGTTCGCTTGGGTTTCCTACGGGTGCTCCGATTTCCAAAGTCCAAAGACGAGGTATGGGTGAATTGGGTAAGCTAAAAAAAATGGTCCATAGTGTATGAGTGTGTGTGTGTATGTTTCCCAGTGATGGGTTGCAGCTGGAATGGCATCCGCTGCGTAAAACGAATGCTGGATAAGTTGGCGGTTCATTCTACTGTGGCGACCCCGAAATAATAAAGGGGCTGAGCCAAAAAGAAAATGAATGAATGAACATACAATGTAAGCTGTCTTTTCGTAAAGAGAAGCATGCACACACACGCACTTAAAATATTATTGTGAACAGCAATGTTCACATTATGTACTTTTTCACATTGCTTTATTATTTACTATTTTCCAGACACAAGTTATGCTTGTTAAAGATACTTGTCATTTTCCACTTTTGACATGGAAATATTTTTTTAGGGAAACTTTCTTTTAACACTAAAACTGAAATGTTTAGTAAATGAATAAATGGAACTTGATTAAGTACAAAAAATTACTTGGAAAATAATATAATGATTCAATATTTCAAAAGGAGGTAAAGTGTTCAATCAATCAAGGTTTTGATTTAAGGTTTAATCTCCTTGCCCTAATATACAAGAATGAACAATTCTCCACTTAAAATAATGATCTAAATTTTATTTATAAAACACTCTTGTGTATTAAATATCATTTTACAATATATGAACAGCATATGCTAGCTCGTAAGCTTATAGCACACTGATAACCATATTATGTGTGTACAAGGTAATCATGCTATAGAGATATACTGGCAGTTCTGTCTTATAGGTATTATCTAAACCGTTCATTGCAAGACAATTAAACATACCTATCACAAGTGTCCCAATATTTGTGTTTTTTAGGCCTCTTTTATCTCCTCTTCCACACCAGTTGAGCTGTTTGGCCACTGGACCAAACACTTTGGAGGCTACACGCCAAATGGTTTTTTTCAGAGTTTGTCCTCCTCTGATGGATAACCTCTTCATCTTAAAAATAAAAGGTAATATTAAATCTTTACAGACAAAGTGCAAGGACTATGGCCCAGTTTTACAGACAAGGATGAGCTTAAGTCTGGACTATAAGTCTTAGTTAATGTTAGATATAAAACTTCTTTTATAAAAATCCATGTGAAAGAAAATATAAGCACAATACTAGCGTGCATCTGGTAACAAAATAATGGCAATGAGATATTGTAAGGCATCACACAGCTCACACATACATTTTTAGTTTGGGACTAGCCTTAAGTGTTGTCTGTGAAACTGGCCATATAATAAAGATTTACTTAACAACAGCTGTAAAACCTTTAAATCTTAAATATTCGTACCATCTTCTCCATCATTGGTTTTTCAGCTAATTGCCTTTCCAGTTGTTCAAGGTCCTCAATTGTTTCAATAGGAAAGGTGTCATCCTCAGTGTCCACCACCATTTGACCACTTGACCGAGGGGCAAGGGACTGGACCACTGAAGTTAGATGGGTAATCTTCATGTCCAGCTCATTAAGCTTCTCCAAAATTGCCCTCTCCACAGCTGCAACACAGTAAGTGGGTTAATCTCTATTCAACTATACGTAAATATTTTTTAATTATTATTATTATTCTTAGCACTTAAATTTTACTTACGTGTGCATTGACTGGAGATGCAGCTCCATCGGCTGATACCAGAAGCATCTGCAAGCAAAATCACTTTTGAACGATTCACAAAAATGTTATGAGGATATTGTAATAATATGCTTGAAACCTTAAACGATAAAAAAAAAACTATATCCGTCTGATTACACATTGTTTTTCTATGGCTAAAATGACTTAAACTATTCACAGAATTCAGAAAAGCAAAATAGCAAAACTGAATTAAGAGGAAATAAAACTGAATTTTAAAAAGCAGACAGAAGCCAACCCCCTCTTGGTCTGTGCTTTTACGTAAAATAGTTTATATGTGAATTTTTCTGTGCATACGAAATCGTTAGTTCCCCAAAGTTATTGAAAGCATAAATTAACAAAACACTTTAAATTAATTTTCAAACCATTAATTTATAGGTAATGATAAATTATATATTGTACTCTAATACATTAATATTCTGAATACAGTGAGTTTTTTTACTGTCACTATAATTAACGAAGTGTTTTTTGTTGTTGTATAGTGTTGTATTTATTAGGTTACAAGGAAATAATTAGATAATGTTTTGCGAACAGCTTATTAACCATGGAAAATTTTCACAGAAAATTGGAAAATGTCATTGATTAGTTGCTTTGAACAAGTTTTATATTCAGTGTTAATTAATATGTTTACAAATAAATTAAAAGGATGTACATTTACTTACGTTTACACACCATTAAGTGGTTATAAACATTTGAGTTTTTTTTTTGTTCTGCTAAACACAAGGAAGGTATTGTGAAGAAAGCTAAAAGCCAGTGATTATTGACTTCTATAGTAGGAAAATGCTATGGAAGTAAATGGTTACAGGTTTCCAACTTTCTTCAAAATATCTTCATTTGTGTTCAGCAAGAAGGAAGAAAGTTTGGGTAACACTTCGTAACAACTGCACACTGAATCATGCATTTAGCATTAGCAAATTGTTAATTAATTTGCAAGAAATTTAATTAATTTGTTAAGATTTAACTACATTAATAGATGTTGGTTAGCAGTATATAAATACAACTACAAATACTGTATAAAAAACATAATAATAATAATAATTCATAAGAAGTAACTGTCAATTAAAAAAACAAATGACTTACTCTTCGCTCTTGCCTGGGTACTTGAAGGTCTCAGCTCAGAAGTTGTGTCTTCTGTGTGATTGTACAGACAATGTAACATTACCATGTTAATAATTAGAAACTAATTTGCTGTGTATGTTTTTTTGAATGTTCTTGCACCTCGATAGCTCGATGGGTGGTCCCCCCAAGCATCTTCTTGCTCATTTACATGGGACATGCTTATTGGAAAAACTGGTGCTGAGAAAAAGGTCAAGTTGGTAAGTTGCATTTGCTACTATGACACTACATAAAATGTATATAATTTATTTATTTTTTACACTTACTCTGCATTTTTCTTTGATCTGCTGATGGCTTTGGATCTTGGACAGAGTATGTGTTGTCTAAATAATAAAAAACAAACAAACAAAAGTATAAAAAGGTTGCAAAAAATTACAATAAATGTGTTTAGGATTTCCTCTGTATACTTCATTATTGTTTTATTTAATCTTTGATGGTAGAAATATGTAGGTGATCAGGTCACCCATATAGAAATCTGATGCATGTAAATATACAGGGTGATTCAAAAAGAATACCACAACTTTTAAAATCAAGAACTCTTCAAAGAAGAGGAGGTCATATTGAACATCTATGAACTTGTTTACTACTAAAAAACTTTTAAGGACTTCACACTGATTATTTACCCAAGGTTCCATCATGTTTCTTTGATTAAATACAGATTTTCAAAGTTGTGGTATTCTTTTTTTAATGACCCTTTATATAGAAAACAAATAATTGAATTAAAAGTTCATATTTAGACTTCACATACAATATTTGTCATTGACCACTTATATATTTGTTAAACAACTGGAATTACAAATATGTATAGATATGTAAATTTTATATTAATAATTAATATTTTTAGGTTTTAATAATTACATTTAATATATATATATATATATATATATATATATATATATATATATATAATATTTTTTTCTGTAGAATGCTTTAAAATATTATATTTGTCCATTAGGTTTGTCAGTACTAAAGTCAAAATAATTTAGCTAAATAAATTTATATTACGGTTCAAAAATATATACAAAAAACCTCTAAAATACAGGAAAAAATCAAGAGAAACTTAAAATAATATTACATTTATTATTATTATTATAAATTTAAAAATTTGTAGTTTACTTTTTTGTGCAAATACTCATTTGAATTTAAATTTAAATTTTTTAAATTTAAATTTTTATTCCTAAAGATGTTATGTGGCCAAACTTGTATTTTAGTGCACATAACTGTTTAATAAACATCTTTTATTTAAATGAACAAAAATATTATCTCTGTTTACTGAAAAATAGATTACAATATTCCAATTCAAAAGGAGGTGTACTCATATGTGCTGAGCAGAGTGTGTGTGTGTGTGTGTGTGTGTGTGTGTGTGTGTGTGTGTGTGCGTGCGTGTGTGTGAACATATCTGTACATATTATTCCAATCGTTGAAAGATAATATTTGTAAGCAGCACAGCCATTTTTGCAATATTTCAAAATGTATATTGCATAAATAAAATATATTTTATTTGTAAAATCCAAATAGGAACTTGCATGGCATATATGTAATTTGCATAAATTTAAATGCAACAGATTTCAATATGGGCAGGTATCGCATTGGTGATCTGCATATGAGAAGCTCTGTCTTTATTGAGCTTTCTTGACATTTGACAAAATGGTACTCTTTCTACTGTTGTAGATGAATTGTGTTCTCTTTTTTGTATTTTAGTCTTAGCTTTACAGCCTTGTTTAATCAAACATTTTCTTTTTTACAATACAGCTAAATTAAATGTTACCGTAATTACCTGAAGTGAGACATACAACTTACGTGGTGCTCTGTCTTGTAAAGGCCGCAGCACAGAAAATGTGTCCTCTGTTGGATTGTACAGAAAATGTTGAGTTACCTAGTGTGAGTATGTGGAGCAATTTTCTTATTTCAGTTCTTATTTCAAATACCAATGAATCTGTTATTATTTATTTTGTTTTTTACCTTGATTTTCAGGTTGGGGTTTATCCCAAGTGTCTTGGTGCTCCACTTCCTGGCAGAACCTCACAGGTACGTCTGGAGCTGAAACTGCAATTATTTTCTTTGCAATTATGAAATGTTATTTGACATTTTTAATTGTAATACCTGGTTCAGAGAAGATTCAGTCTTTAAAGAGGCTTTCAACTTTTGGCAGAATAAGCAGATCATGAAACATACAATTTGTGCACAATTATTATGAAAGTCGATATCTGGTTATATTGACTGTGATAAGGGAGTCATGGTTTTAACTGCTAGTAACAATGAAAATTTAAGGATAGGAGAAGGATTTAAACTCTGATGACTTACTGCAAGATTCTGAAAGATAATATCTTTTAACAGTTACAAGAGGAAGTGGTCCTGTCCTTCTAGACCAGTTCTCAACCTATGCCTATGAAGTTTTCCGTGTATTTCAGTATTTCAGCTTGTGGTTATTTTTGAGTGGGTACATTTTGAGACATTGTATCCCATTGTGTCATTCTTTGACACAGAAGCTGACACATTGTACTTGTCAGTGACTAAAGGGTTCCTGATGCTTTCAAACTCTTTCAATGATGAACCGGATGAATCTTTCAGTATAGGAAATTAATTTTGAAATGAACACTGAAAACTTCTGGAAGATAAATTCTTTAAACCGATACAAAGGGAGTGGTGCTTGTCCTTTCAACCTATGCCTATAAAAGTCTCTGGGCATTTTACAACATTTCTGCGTGTGATTCTTAAGTGGGTACAATCGATACATTGAGTCAAATTGTGTCATTCTTTGACACAGAATCTGACACATTGTACTTGTTTTGGCTCTGGCAAACTGGGTTTCCTAAACTATTCACCTTAATAACTGAAATCCTATTTTATAATATTATTTTCTTCTCGGCCAGTTGATTGTGACTCTTTATGTTTAAATAATGTCAGTTTCCCCTATGAGCATTTCTTGTCCAGTGGACTCAATTTAAAAATTAGCTTGTGTTGCACTTTCTCCTAGCCATATAATATACAGTTGAAGTCAGAATTATTAGCCCCCCTTTGAATTAGTTTTTCTTTTTTTATGTATATTTTTCAAATGATGTTTAACAGAGCAAAGAAATTTTCACTGTATGTCTGATAATATTTTTATGTCTATATATTTGTTTTATTTCAGCTAGAATAAAATCAGTTTTTAATTATTTAAACCCATTTTAAGGTAAAAATTATTAGCCCCTTTAAGCTTTATTTTTTTCTGATAGTCTACAAAATAAACCATCATTGTACAATAACTTGCCTAATTAACCTAACCTGACTAGTTAACCTAATTAACCTAGTTAAGCCTTTAAATGTCTCTTTAAGCTGTATAGAAGTATCTTGAAAAATATCTAGTCAAATATTATTTACTGTCATCATGGTAAAGATAAAATAAATCAATTATTAAAGATGAGTCATTAAAACTATTATGTTTAGAAATATGTTTTAAAAATCTGCTCTCTGTTAAACAGAAATTGGGGGAAAAATAAACTGGGGGGCTAATAATTCAGGGGGGCTAATAATTCTGACTTCAACTGTATATATATTCAAGTCACTTGCTTCAACTAAATATATATATATATATATATATATATATATATATATATATATATATATATATATATATATATATATAATAGAGGTACAATGTACTTCTATTAAAAATAGGATCGGAATATTACATTTATTTATATTTGTGCACAAACTGTAGGTGAGTGTTGTCTATTCAGCGATCAGAATCATGAACCAGCCTGTCATTGAGTCAGCCTTTTGAGTCATGAATGCTGTGAAGTTACAGCTTTTACAGTTTGTAGTTACAGTATTCATGTAAAGCGAGTTACCTTGACTAGTGGAGGGAGTTTCAAAACAGGCCTGCTGTTGCTTTTCTGTAGCTTTTTGTTGGTCGCGGACAAATGCTGTTGAAACATTACAGATGAAACAGATGTTATATCTGTCTCACAAACAAAAATTACATTGTACTGCACAGATCTTTATAGCTTGAGAGTGCTGTTGCTTCTAATTAGCAATTAAAAGTTATTTGTGCCTCTTAAAATGTAATACTCAATTTATGAATGTAATAACAGTAGTTTTTTGCAAAATGTTAAAAGAACAATATTACTGGATTCAGCTGAAAACATTATGGTAAAGCAGCATGTCACAAGAGCTTGTGCATTACATTTAATTTACTGTGATTAAGGAACATTCTTGAGCATATCACAAAGTACTTAAAACATCAAATATCTGTTTTACTAATTAAAACTTACAATTGCAAAAACTGTTAATTGTTTTACATGATGTTAGCTGAGGTCGTACAAGGGGACCTGAAAAAGAAAAAAACTGCTCAGTGATCATACATACACTTTTGACTGGCAGTAATATAAGTGGTGTATTTTTACCTTTTGCCCTGATATGTCTTGGGGGTGTTGGAGCTTTTGGTGCAGGTGGGACCCTTGGTGTTGGTAGACTTTTTTCTTTATTTAGTTTCTTTTTTTTGTGGGGAGTATCGCAAGGCTCATCATCTGATGTGTATATTTTCTTTCTATGAGCACAATCAGGGTAGTTAATTATACAAAGCATGATTGGATTATAACAATGTCTTGTTTTTTAAATGTAAGAAGAAAAAAACACAAACTTAAAAATAAGTTCAATATAATTTTTATAGTAAAAGTTTTCTTTCCATCATTCTTAGGAAAGTTAGGAAATGGCCAAAATATAATAGTAAAAATAACAAAACCTTTTGCTTGTTTAAATCTGGCATAATTGTGTATTTGCGTGTTGCAAAAAATGCAAACAAACAGTTGATGATACATTTAAAACTAAATATACCTGATTTACCTGATAAGTGTGATTGAGATGTAAAAACTACGGCTGAATTTGATATTATAATTAAATATATTTACCTTTGTTACTCACATGAACTTTGTTTAGCTTCAGAAGACTGAATATTGTTGTTAAAAGTAAAATGTGTGTTTTGACAACTTACTTCGGAATTCTTTTTGCAGGCATTTCAGATTCCGAGATGTCAGATGTGTAGCATGCCTGTTTCCATTTCTTTGAAATCTTGTCAAAAGATGCTGAAAGAAATAAAGTATGTAACAATTCATGAATGCAATAGTCTATGGAATGTCATATATTATTGAATTTATCCTTTGTTTAATATTGTTTATTTACAATGTACTTCTGTGTACCTGACTCGTGTAGAATTCTGGCCTGATGCTTGGTCCAACCTTTATCTGGTTGTGGTGCCTCCATCAACCGGACACTCTTCAACACCCTGTCTATCTCCTTGTATGGAGGCCACCACGAGTGACCCTCTGAGTACCAAGACTTTGCGACAGGTCCGGTACTCCCTTCGTGAATGAACTCCACTATCAGGTACATTTTTTTTAAGCTGCAAGAACCTAGAGCCCCATAGTGTTGAAAGACACATATTACATTTCGGTTGTTTATGTGCATGATTCAAATACACAAAATACATTTCATGCAAAATAATGATGCAAGTTAATATTGAGAAATTTTTTCCCAAGCACATATTACCAATTCCAGACCACATCAATCTTAAGAACCACTACTACTTTTGTATTCATCATTCTTTATTGATATATAATTTTCTGACAACACTCAAAGTAAAAAATGCTTTAAATTCAGGTGTTTTACTGATAAAAATATAACTTGGACTGAAAAGTTGCAAAATTATTAAATGACGGTGAAAAGAAGGCAATACTAGAAATTGCAAAATAAAGTAATGACAACTATTTTGGATCATTTGAATCGAGCTATTTTCACTTTCTGCCTTCATATAATATTACATATTGGTTATAGTTGTAATTAGGGCTTGACATTAATACTCGCCAAACCACCAAATGCAGGTAGATTTCAGCTGTGGCGGGTAAAGACTGCCATTTCCACTAGCCACTTTGGCTGGTTGAAAATAATTTTTTAATCGTAGTTTTCTTAAAAGCAGGGTTCAACAATAAGGATGGTCCAGTTTTTGGGACAGTAGACAGGATTGTCAGTGTCCTGACCAGGCCAGTGCTGGCTTATCACTAAATATTATAATTTCAGTTTTTTACCGTTTATCAATATGCATGCAAATGTGATAAAAAAAAATTATATATATTTATTTTTTTCAAAATTAGTGGTATACACAGTAATGAGTGGAACAGCAAATGAGATTTTAGAATCAAGAAGCAGCATGATTGACAAAAACAACTGTGTTTATGCAAAACAAAAGATAGCAGATAAATACCAAATGAGAGCTTGATCATACACACTGTGAGACACAGGCTATTCTTACTCACTGAGAGATGTTTTTGAGAGCCGAGTGTTTAAAATACTTGTGCACTACCGTGTCCTTGCATGTAGCAATCCTCCTTGGAAATGAAACTGGTGTGATGGATTCTATTTGAAATAGACTGGACAAAAGTAATTGTCGTGCATCCACAGTCCTTCTGCTTTCAAGAGCTTTAGATTTAAAAACAGGTATTTGTAAGCAGCAGTGATTGCCACTTTAACCATTGTTTGAACAGATTATTAATGTGCCTAATGTTAACTGTGTGCACATGATTAATATTTCATTATCACACATGGTTTGTTTTTCACCTGCTTTCTTTTGCTTGCAAGTCAATTTTCTGCATATAAAATATATTTTCCCAACAACAAAATTGTGGCTAGTGAAAAAGGCAAGTGGCTAGTAACCTTGGAAACTACAAGCCTCAGTGACTGGTGATAAAAAAAGTCAATATCAAGCCCTGGTAGTGATTAAGGTTTACAATTTTCAAAATGCTCTAGGAAAAAATATGATCAGAATATCATCTTGCACAATAATTATACTCGCACTATACAGTATATGTAAAAAAAAAAAACATGTGGAAATAGATAGATACTATGTGTGTAAAGTTTAAACTGAAACAAAATAATTTCTGCAAGGGACTAAAAAAGCTTTCATTTCAATATTTTCAATCTTGCAGAGATGGATTGGTCCTGACATGACATCAGTAGGTAGATGCCAAGTGTGGAGGATGGAAGCGTGGGGATAGTCAAAAAGGAGTTAATGTTTGCTGAAGGTGGTGTAGACCATGTAAATGCCATGCTTTTCTGAAATTATGTTTTGCAGCTTTGCAACCTTTCTGCCAATATAGACAAATGGTTTGCCTGGTCCAGTTTCAGAGTATATGGGCATACTCACTCTAGGTGCATTTCTGAGGAATGCCATCCTGTTTTCCAGGTGCACACCATCCTGAATACATGTTTCACACCCATGGTAACCTGGTTGGCCATTTTAGAAAAGCATGTTGCAAAAGCAAACTTGAATGTTAACTTTAGTCATTCAAATTCAAAGCCATTTTTTTTTAACTCTTTGATTTCAGAGATTAGGTCTTCGAGATACTCATTCAGGGAGCTAGTTTTACAGTACCTTCAGCCCACAATAAATCTATTGGCACATGTTCCCCCTGCACCAAATTTTAAACTTCTACTAGACTGAGCCAGCATTGAGCAAATGAACTCTTGTAGAGAGGAAGACCATCAATGCTCACCTGGAACTTAAAATTTTTATCTTCCTTAAAATGTACATGTTGTCATAGAGGACCCTTGAAATGGATGCCATTGAACCAAAAGTATATCACTGGCCCTGTGCGTTCAAAGAGAACTCATGTGCAAAAAGAAGGCTATTCTCTTTGAACGCACTTTACCTAACATTGTCCTTGTATCTTTTGGCAGACTCGGATTGTAATTGTGAATGATTATGAGTAATTCATTTAGTGATGCATGTGTTAATTTTTTTTTCTGTTTCCCATCTTGTCAAAGTCATCATTGAGGGGACTTGAACTAGTCAGATTGACTCGTTTATGAAGCACTTGCCAGGATGATACTGCATTCAGTCTCATTAACATGGGACAAACAGTCCAAGAAGTCAGTGCCGTCTTCAACAGTGCTGCTTGTCAATGCCACCATACTGTTCCCTCAATAGTGATGCTTATAACACATGCATTGAATAAAGCTGTTTGTCCACCTTGGCTTTTGCTTTTCTCCTGTTGTGTCCAGTAAGATTGTTTTTTTACAATCCGTAATACACACACACACACAATGCATTGCCCTAACATGCTAAGCCTGCATTGGTTTTGAAATTCAGTACTTTAAGACCCTTAAGCAGGTCGCACACCAGAAGCGCCGCTCCGCAGCGCGCCACGCAGCGCCATGCATTTTAGAATTCTAAACATAGGTTTCGATCAGAATACACACACAGGTGCTGCAAGTCGGCAGCGCCACGGCACAGGAAGAAGTTCATTTTTCAGCCTCGCCACAAAGCTGCATCTGATTAGTTTAATGTTAAATATCATTCGAATGTGCGCGTCTAGTGTGTGATGCTTTAAACTGTCATGTGCGCGCTGTGTCGCGGCGCTTCTGGTGTGCGACCTGCTTTACATCACACTGCTTACATGTACGCTTACATTTAATTGAACTTTATAAAACTGAAGCTTGGTAAACTAATTGGTGCATATTAGATGGGAGACATCCAGAATGTGCAGTGTTATGAGTCTCCAAGATTTGAAATTTTAGAACCACTTTCTTGATGACCAGTAGTTCTGTCACAATAATTACACGTACCTTATTTTTGAGGGACAGAATGTGTAAGTGTTATGTAGTTGTCAGTTGACTGTAGAGAACTCTGTAATTAGGGAAAAGATAAAACAGGTAACGTCAGTTTTGTCATTGTCATGCCTAGAAACAGTATAAAAAGCTTAATAAATGTATGATTACTCCTTTTTATAAAATGTTTGTTTAATTGAACTAGAACTAAACCCATAAGAATGCCTATATTCTGCTACTCCTTTGAATGTATTTTTTATCCTACCCAAAATTTCAGGGACAGTTCGTCTAAGAATGACAATTCTATCACCATTTACTCACCATTCACTTGTTCCAAACCTGTTTGGCTGTCTTTTCTCTGTTGAACACAAAAGAAGATAGTTTGAAGAAAGCTGGAAACCTGTAACCACTGACTTCTATAGTATTTGTTTTTCTACTATGGAAGTCTATGGTTACAGGTTTTCAGGTTTTTTCAAAATGTCTTATATTTTATTCATCAAAAGAAAGAAAATCATAAAAATTTGAAACCCCTCGAGGGAGAGTAAATGTTGAGTGAATTTTCATTTTTGATTGAATTGTCCTTTAATCTCAGGAGAACAAATTTGGGAAAAAAATTAAGGTGAAACTAAAAAACTAAGGGCTAAGGATTATTTTATTTATATATTTATTTGAGTTTTTTTTTTCTTCAACTATGGTTTAAGTTGAGGGGTTTCAAAACAGTGGACTATGGAGAGTTATGTATTTAAAACCATGCTGATTTTTTTTTTTTATTTAAACTGTTGCTAATGCTACTGTAAATATGGATTATGAAATGAGGGTGTTTTTTATAAAGTTTAAAAAAGTAACAGGAAATGGGTTATATACTATTTAAAGATTTGTTTCTGTTTTCTGAACTTGACAAAAATTGTAAGGAGATTTATTTGTTTTTGGAAAAGAACTAGAGGATAATAGATTTAAATCTTTATTGATATTTTTAAGGTTTATATGATAGAATTTAGTGGGCTAAATGGTAGTTAGTGATCCCGATTTTGAAAGAGGTCCTAATCAATAGGTGGCACTGTGGCAGTAATACGCTTATAAATAAATCTGTATGCAAAACGGCAATGTCTAGAAGAAGACAACGATACGGTGACCACAACCAACACGAGGTTCACGGCTCTACAGGTAAAACAATTTACTTTGTGTTTCATGACATGGTGTTATTTTCCTTTAGTTTATGTGGTTTTAGTCACGGGATAGCATTAGAGCAGGGAATTCGGTATTGCGAGAAAAGTTCATAAAAATGGTCACTGTTAACACGGATTATAATCCGTTTTCATCTATATTTGGTGCTGACCACTGTTTTTCCACAAAAAAAACTTTTAATACCATTTTGAATCCGGCACATACTTTATTAGGCATAACTAACATTTATGGTTGCGTTTGGAGGTTGTGCAAACTCTGGACAGTAGTCCTTCAGGATCGAGTGAGTCTGATGATTATAGTATGTTAATAAAGCCTGTTTAACCAGTTTCGTGCTTATTAAACCTATCAGTTCGATTTCATACAGGTCACTGAAGCATAGACCATAGGTCACGTGTTACTATTCTCAATGCTGTTGGACCAAACTAATCTACGACATAACTTTTCCCGCCCTACGCGTGCCTGACCACGTCAGTCAACCCTTTCGGTTATTAACCCTGCTTTACTATAGATAAATAAGTACACAAATATTTAATAAAAGTGTGTTAATATAGTTGTGCCATGGTTATCATAGATTTACCTATTTTTGCTAATAGAAACATATTTTAAGTATTTTAGGTAACGTGTATTTTTATTCAGTGCGCCAAAAATCATGGTTTTACGGTAAAAAGTCCTTAACGGGATAGCACATACTTAACAAATAACGTTAAATTAATAAATAATCTTACGATGTTGCAAGGCTGACGTTATTTAATGGAATAACGGTACTTACCAACAACGGACAAATTAACCTTAAGCCTAAAACCGAATAAACAACAACAAAAAAGTTAATATGTAAACAAACAGATAACTACGAATGAACAGGATTGTTATATGTACAAATTTTGTATTTACAGATAATTCTTGAGCTAAATATCAACCTATTATAAAAAAAACAAACGTTGAGGGTGCAATGTCATCTGTTGACAAACAGCCGTTGATCATGTGACGTAATGGCCTCACGACGTGTCACTCAGACAGGGTTAATGGAAATGTCATTGTCTATAATTGTAAGAAATTAATTAATTAGTTAATTTTATATATATTTATTATTTTTATTTAACAATATTCATTATTTTATTTTTTACTATTAATAATTACTTTCTATCACACTGGCATAAGGTTTGTTCTGTTGTCATATGTTGTAAATTTATTTACTAATTGTTGTATTTTAGGGGCACAAATCTCTGGAAAAATATTACTTGTTAATTGTATTGTAATTTTTTCAGGTGTTTTTGAAAGAGTTTTTTCACAAGTATAATATGTTTCCCCCATTCCCCCAATGTTGTGAAAATGCATGAAATGTACTAAATTCCTACATTAAATTAATGGACAGATTTTTTATTGAGAGGTCATGTACTAGATACTTTATTTATTTTTCTATTTATTTTTCTACAATAAAAATAATTTACAATAAAATTATTTACAATAAAATTCTCACCTGTCTTATGCAGAATTCTCTTCTGATGTTTAGCTGTGGTCCCTTGATCCAGACACTCCTCAGCAACCAGTCTTTGTATGGAATCCACCGTTCTCTATAAAGATCTATTTGTCTCTTCTTCCACTTCCATCAGGTACTTTTTTTTTTTTTTGGCCAACAATGTTAATCTTATTTTTCAATATGTGATTTAGTATAACATTATAACTCATTGCATAATGCCATATTCAATGTTCATTATAAGACTTAAACTGTGTGACAGTTTATGAACATTACTTGAACTAGAGCTGCAAAGTTATATAAAAAGATATTTATTTATTTATGGTTTTGTTTGTTTTATATGTAACATTTGGAATTCGTTAAAGTAAATATAAGCTAAGTTAGGATGAAAGATAACTGTAAAAAAACAAAAAAACTTTGGTGCCTTTTTTGTTGAATCAAATGTAAAAACCCTGAACCAAAAATTTATATGGCTCCATTTTCTAGGTTAATATGCTCATAGTTGATATCAGATATGACTAAAGTGCATGCATCCTTAAGCACAAGTACTCATGTTTAAAATGACAGGTAAAATTTGAAGTACTGATTATACTTTTGTACTCAAGTGAAAGAAAAGAGATGGCCTCAAACATGTACACAAGTAAAAAGTATCCAATAACCTATCTTTGCTTTACGCTGGTAAATAGATTGCACATCATATATACATTTATACAAAATAACTTTCATTAAATAAATAAAAAAATTATCTAAAAATGCCCATTCTCAGCAGAAAAGTAGCCAAGCAACAAAGCTCTGCAATATTTGCCAACAGCACTTCTTAAAATGTTGCTCCATCATCTTGGCACAAAAACGCACCAAACAGCTGTTCTTACACACTAATAATTCTGTCTTAAATGTAACGCTTAAATTTGTCAGAAACAGTTTTTTTCTTTTGCTAAAATAAATGATTAACATCTTTTTTTTCTTCTTTGCTTTAACCCTCCTTTTGACTTAAGGGTAAAAAATGACACTAACACCATTTTAACAGCAAAAAAGCTAAAATACCCTAAACAATATTTTTTCCGTAATCTATTTTTAAAATTACCTTAACATTAAAAAAAGATTATTCATTTTCTGTTTTCATTAAGGTTATACACATTTATGTAGAACGGTTGTACTTCGGAGTAATTTTGACCCATCAGCTATAAAACAATTTTCACACCACAAAACCTACTGACACACGAACACTCCCAACACACACAATAAGAGTCTGCAGTAACACTTTATAACTGCACACTATGAACCATTATATGTACTATTTATGCTTTGTAAGTCCCTTATAAACAACAATTAAAAGCTCAGTTATATTCTTAGGAAAAAATAAACTACTTATTCATTTCTATTAATTTGAAGATGCACAAATGAAGCTGTATCAAATGAAATTGCAATCTTAACTAAAATAAAATCATGGTACTGTTGAAACATCGCTAAATAACATTCACATGTTCTATCATAATATATTGTTAAATCATTATATTGTTGTTGTTTTGCCCATTTTTATGTTATATTTGGACACCCCTGATAATTAGTAAAGTTTAAACTTTAGTCATTTTATTTTTTTAATAAAATTGAAATGATTTATTGTTTATTTGATACAATGCCTTTAATTGCTATTTATAAGAGCACACATATAGAGCACACACACACACACACATATGTATTTATATATATATATATATACATACATACATACATACATACATACATACATACATACACACACGTTTATTAATTGTTTAATTATGCAGCTATACCAACTATTTTATATAACTGGTTTATATGGTTTTCATGGTTTATAGCATGAAAACAAAATCATTAAGCAGATTATACATGTGCTTATAAGTAAAAAAAAAAACAGCATTGTAGCTGTATTTATTAACTGATACTAACATCTAATGTAGAGTTGATGTTTATACAACAAATAATAAATTAACTATTTGCTAATGTTTAATAAATGATTCACTGAATTGTGTAGTTATTTTAAAGTGTTACCAAATCTCCTGTTTTAACTTTTATGAATACTGTCTTGCTAAAAACTGTCACACTTGCATAGGTACCTTTAGCATTAAAAATCCACTCTTTACTGTAATCAAAAAGGTGTTGCCCACCGAGTAAACACTGATGAAATACTACACACTGATGAGGGAAAACCTAGACATTGTAAGAATTGAAATATTACAAATATTTTTGATGTCTTTGACAATTCAAAACATGAGCTGAAGACAGGGCCAATGGACTCCACAACCCACCAGTGGGGAATGCGTGAAAAACCAGTTCCTGCTGCATTTGCATCTGACTATGCTGAGACTCAGCTTCATCCCCCCAACTCACGCATATGGTCATTTCAATGTTTTAAATTAACCAAACTGACTTTAACCATCATGTTTGATATCATTTGAAATGTCTCAGTGCGATTGGTACAATGGTCTCATTCTCTCAGAAATAGACATAATCAGAACAATAAATATATAACTTCAGGCATCTTTTGAACCACTGTGAGGGGTGTGACTTTTTACACACACCCCCTTCCTTGAGGGAATTCTTGGATTATTTAAGGCAAGGTTTGAGAAAAACTCAGGGCGATTCTGCCTAACCAGATCAGCCCATAACATGGCTAGCTCCATGTTATGTATATTTCAAAGTCAGGAGTGCATCTTTTTCATCTTGGAGTTATCTTTGATAATTTGATGTTTTGTATTGATCGTTTATGAATTGACTGATTGAATTGGCATAATACATTTACCTGACTAATAAATTGTTATGTTTTGAATGATTCAAACAGACCTCTTGTTATTATCACTGATAAATGTTGTTGTCCATAGCACTACAAGCCACTGTACAGGTTAGTAACGGACTAAAACATGTTAGACGGAGCAGCGTGGCACGCTAAACAATGTTGTTAGAGATCCGACTAGCAAATTGGCATTATTTCATGTATACGTAGACTGCAAAAGGCCAACTATGGATTTTCTATTTAGAACAACAAAATATTGTTGAAACTACTTTAAATGTGGATATTTAGGCCTTCATCTACAAATTTATAATCCTGTGCGATTATTATTAAAATACTTTGTCTTGATTAAGTAGATAACAGATCTATGGGGACCACATAAAAATCTCCTAAATTGAGTAAGTAGTGTTCTGCCTTTTTAGGAGAGTGGTTAATCGCCTCTGTTTAATGACCAAGACTGACAAGCTTGTATTAAGAGATTGTATACCCGGCCGGTGCAAGACTCGAGATGCTATCGGAATCTGAGTAAATGAGAATAAGGTATAAGAACAAATCAAAAGAATATTCAATCATAATCTAAAATAATGTGAAAGGAAACAAAATAATCTTATCAATGTTTTATAATTGGAGTCAGTTAAAACAAGGATAAACATATTAATATTCTAAACCATCTCATACTAAAAATGGAGTCAGATATGAGTTAAGTTTAATATAAATCAACATTGTGCACTGGAAAGACCGAACATGCAGTGAACCTTCATCCACCATTGGATACCGTCATTGGACCAACTGATTGGACCCTACAACATTTACAGTTTATGATGAAGATATTGTTGTTTCTTCATGGTAAATGACTTGAATTTGAAGACTTGAATTTAATTTAACTGCATTATTTTAGAAGTTTAGTAAAGCAAACCCATTTTTGACCCGAAGGGCAAACAGTGGAGACTGAATTCTAGGCAACACAAGGCAAACAGCAGCAGATTTCAGCAGTTCTCGTGTTTGTTTTCTTAGATTTTTGTGGAAATTTTATTTTAAGGGGCTATGGCATTAATGTTTTTAATACATCTATTCAATACAAAAGGCAAACGGTAGCAAAACGGATAAACTACTTTTAAAATTCATTATATACATATAGGCAGTGCTGAAACTTGCAGAAATTTCCTCTGATTGGTCAACCAAATCTGAGCTCCTGATATCCCCTCAAAACGATAGTCCTCTGAGTACCAGCACCCATACTTTTAATGATATATATATTAACAGTATTATCAGACATTTGTCATTAAAATAAGATCATAGTTTGCTGACAAAAAAAAATAAAAATAATATATGCCTATAGTTCACCAATCAAGCAAACCTGGTGCTGCTGGGAAATGGCTATGCTCAGCATCAGGTGCACCGCAACAAGAAGTTTGGCGGTGAACTATAGGCATATATTATTTTTATTTTTTGTCAGCGAACTATGATGATTTTAAAGACATGAACTATGATTTTAATGACAAATGTCTGATAATACTGTTAATTTACATTTTTTATTACATTTATGCATACGCAATGAATGTAAGCCTGCTAACTGATCAAACTATAGAATATGTAAACTTAGTTTATATATATATATATATATATATATATATATATATATGATTAAATAATAATTAAAAGTCTGGGTGCTGGTACTCAGAGGACTATCGTTTTTAGGGGGCATCAGGAGGTCAGATTTGGTTGAGTCAAAGGAAATTGGCTGTTTCAGCATCGCCTATATGTGTATAATGAATTTAAGTAGTTTATCCGTTTTTCTACCCCCCCCAAAAAAAGAGAAAATCCAGCCAAAAATACTTTTTTTTTATTATTATTTTTTTTTAAACTAGATTCTTTTCAAGACACTTCTATACAGCTTGAAGTGACTTTTAAAGGGTTAACTAGGCAGGTTAGGGTAATTAGGCAAGTTATTGTATAATAATGTTTTTTTCTGTAAATAATCAGAAGGTAATATTGCTTAAGGGGTCTAATAATTTTGACCTTAAAATGGCTGTTAAAAAACATTAAAAACTACTTTTATTCTTGACGAAATAAAACAAATAAGACTTTCTGCAAAAGCAAAAATATTATCAGACATACTGTAAAAAATGATTGCTCTGTTAAACAAAATTTGGGAAATATTTTAAAAAGAAAAATAATTCAAAGGGGGGTAATAATTATGACTTCAACTGTATATTGTATTACAGTCCAACTATAAAAGTTTTTGTGTCTCTTTTTATCAGGGTCCAGTGACTACTAGGGGGTCTCTGCAAACTTCCATTGACCACAAGATAAGGATTCACTCAAGGAAGGATTAAATGCCACCATCTCACCCCAACCCTTTGGTGCATCTGCATTGGAAATTATTGGTCAATTTTTGAGTGATGGCCTTTCCACCACCATACCTTTTAAAATAGTAACATATGAATGGTTAATTGTTTTAGGCTGCAGCCATTTATTTTAATTTCCAATAATACATTTTAAACTGAAATTGTATGAAATGCCATGTTATTTTATGTATTGTAAAAAAAACAAGTTATTCAACACCATTTCAACTAATGTCAAGCAATTTTAGAATGTGACTGTTATGCATAATTACTGCATCCTCCTTACCACACAATTCTTATAACAATTGACATAACAACAGTGCAGTTAAGGTCTGACCATGTCAAAGTTGTATCAACTGCAGCTTTTATACATAAAGTAAATGGGGTTGTTTAAATTGAAACCTTTTTGGAATTATTTATTTTTTGAACTTGAACTGTGCATAGAAAATGCATCAAATAATCAAGCAGTTTGTGGTTTTCCCTGTCTGATGCTTGGACAGTTGTGTGGAACCAGTTTCTCTTCTATGTATTTGGTTGTGCTCTTATGTGATGTTAAGAAGAGAATGGAGCACAGTAATTCTAATAACTACATTTTACTAAAATCTATACTTTATAATTTATAATTTTGTTGAGATTATAATAACAGAAACTGTAAAAAGAATAATTACTAAAATTGTTACATGTAAGATTATTGCTATTATATTTATTAATGAATTATATAGTTATATTCAGATGAGTAAATACAGTATGTTTATAAAACCAGAACATATACACACATTATTATTATTATTATTTATTCCCATAGATGTCAGTGGCTGTTTTTTTTCTCTCCAACATTCTTTAGAATATTTTAGTTTTGTTCAACAGAAAAAAGAAACAGAACTTTAGAACTACTTGAGTTTGAGTAAATGATGAGGGAAATTTTCTTTTTTGGTCAATGATCTTATTGAGTTAAAATTAAGTCCCTTGAATTTGCATAAGACTCTATTGTAGTTATTTGCCTTATGATCGCATAACATGTTTTATTTTGTTATGGCATGGGAAAAGCCAAAATTCAGTCAGCAACGTATACAAACTGTTCTGCTTAATTTTAAATGTTTATGTTTGATTCATTGCGGTCAGCTTTTACAACAGTGATGCTAAATGAACAATTATCTGAACATAAAGTGTATCTTAAATGGAGGATTTTTCCTTTTAAAAGCTTCATTAAATAAGTGTTGAAAGTCATGTTCATCATTTAGAATTTTTTGGCACATCTCTACATACAATACAGACACCAAATACATCTGTACATGTTCATAAATTGTATGTGCTCACTGATCAGTGTTGTGGATCCTTTTATAAGAGCCTATTTTTTTCTCTTGTAAATAATAACACTTTAAAATGTCTTTTACCATGATAATTTAAATTATCTTTTCATTTGCAACAATGTATAAACTGCCATAAGTGCCATAAGGCAGTGTAAATTAAATTAACATTTGTAGAGTGCATTTCCTCCATAGGCTTTTCCTTAAATCAGTAATATTATCAAGGTTTATTTTTGGAATTGTCGGTTTTGGCTTGTTTATTTGAGGTTTAATCATTTTGAACAAAACATATAAAGGGTTGGGTATAATATATGGCATGGGTCAAATCTAAATGACACACAGCCTTGGATCCCCCTCGATATAAACCGAACTGTTACTCAAATGATCAAGCTTGTATATTGGACTTAAAATAGCAGCAACCAAAAATGATGTATATACAGTATATTATGCTTTTAGCAAAATAACAGATAGTAAACGTCGACCAATAAAGCAGGTAAGATTACTACTGTTATTTATTTTTTGCATACGTTTTGTTTAACCTATTGAAGGATCATATAATCTAAAAAAAATACAAATAAAAAGTGCATGATGTGGTCCAAAATGTGTTTGTGTGTGTGTTTGCATGTACGTGCTGTACGTTTTTTCTTATGAAAATTATATAATTTTTTCAAGTTTTTATAATTTTAGAGCATATTTCTACAGTTTCTATTATTTTAACTAAAAAGAAATAGTGTGCATAAAATGTACTCATTAAAACCGTCATAAAAGATAATCAAGCACAAACTTTGAACGTCATGAATGCAAAATACATTATCAGTGACATTGCCTTGCACCCCATGCGTTGCGACATCTCTGACAGTGAAAAGAGCTCCTCGTTCTAGTTTAAGCGGGTCACGTCTGTTTACCAGAGCTTTCCGTGCCACGGTAATTTCAGGAGTTTAAAATTCATCGTATAGACGTCGTATAGAGGTAAGGAAGACGGCTCATTAACAAATAAAAACGTTCGATCGAATGCGATGTTTAGCAGATGTTACGATCTTTCAAAGACGTCTCCGCGACGTACCTGTGCTATCTGGGATTAGTATCAAACAACACTGCAGTGCATTATTTGGAGCCATGCAAATGTTAGCATACCTGTCAACCCTCCCGTTTTTCTCCCGTATTTTACTGTTGTAAAGGTATTATCCCGTATTAAGGGGGGGTGGGAGGGGGGGGGGGTGATCCCTTATTATGGTGGGCATATCCCTTATTTATGTTATAAAATTAGTTATTCAGTCGTAAACATTTGCCAAGCAACCTACAAGACTTTACACTGTAAAAAGTGCAGGGTTTCACGTTCATGTAGTCCCAACACAAATAAGGTTAACTTAACACTTTTAGCAAATTTATGTGGATTGAACTCATTTTAAATTAGTAGTTTAAACGACCAAAAAAAAAAAAACTTTTTTTTTTTTGTGTGTATGGATCACAGTTTGTTTCGTGGAGTTTTCTGTTAGGCTATCTGATATTCTTTCATTAACTGTTCTCCAAGTTTACCCAATATAATGACTTTAACTGCTGAGAAAACAATGTGAAAATATGACTTAATGACATTTTTATAATGGCTTATTTTTAATAAGCTAAAGTATTTAATTTTGATTTTGTCTATTTTGTATTTGACCTTTTTATTCCATCACTGACTTTTGCTTTTTTTGTTTGTTTATTGTAAAGCTGCTCTAAAAAGAAAAGATTTAAGGGATTGAGGGTCGATCAGTGTATTATCACCTATAGGTATTACACTGTGCAATAAATTCATATGTTAATAATATCTATACTAAAATATTTATATATTATTTGACATATAAAACAAAAACTATCTATACAAAGTATAAAGTGTATATATATATATATATATATATATATATATATATATATATATATATATATATATATATATACTGTTAACCCTTACTGTATGCAGTAGATAACTGTGAAATAGCCAGTGTTTTGCTGTAATAACAGGAAACAGCATTTTAAGGTACTTTCAAGAACAACATTGGCTTATTTTTTGAGCCCCTCCAAATCATGCTAACAAAAAATGCTGAAAATACCACAATAAGTTCTACTTTACTACTGACCATATTTAAATGCCACAGTTTGACTTCTGACAGATCGGAGCTTTAGTGTGACATCAGTTAAAGCTGCACTAGGTGATCTGCCAAAATGCTAACTGGTTAGCATAATATTTTTAAACACAATCCCTCCCCTGCTGTCCAAAGCCACGCCTCCTGAAATCACCAACGCGCACATTAAAGATGACGGACCCACTAGATCATGTCGCTCGCCAGTTAGAAAACTTGATAGTACTTTAAAAATACCACAATTCTGAACGAAAAACTGCATTATATCTAGCACGTTTTCAGTTAGCAAGCAAAACTTGTCATGATGTGCAATATTTCATGCATGCAAGGATCGCATGCAAATAAAGAGCCATCGGCCCTTAATTTTTGTCATAGAATTGTGTATTAGATTAGATTGTACGTCAGATCCACAGCACAGACTGAACTTATAGCACCAGGTTAAACTTTCTGACCCCTTTATGGTAATCAAATTGAAAATGAACACAGGCCACAACTGACCATTGAGGATGATCTCCAAAATTAAACCAATGGACTTGTCCTGAACACATGCTGTCCACCAGTCTCCTTGAGGTTAGGTTATTAATATTAAATTAAAGAAATGAATAAATGATTATACACACTATATAGCCCATGACTGTTAAGACTGTTGCACTCTTTGTGTTGGCAATATGCTCATGTTTATATAGGCCTATTGTTATGTGTGCAACATTTGTATATTTATAGCCACCTCTGAGAAATGTCGGGGTCACAATGGTTTTAAGAAAAGACTTAAAAAGTCATACAATTGAAATAGTGACTGACACCTGCAGAAACCATGGTTGTGATGTTCCATTCCACTATTAGACATGGTTACATCAAAACGAGTATTAAATATTAAGCCAAAAATATAAAACCGAATTATGTATACGCTACTATTTTTATAAAGTGATATGTGCAAATAAAAATACACACTTTTGTCTTTGCAGACTTTTCATCTTCGCATTAACTTGTGCTGTATTACAGTTTTTTTTCAGTCGCTTTGGTAAACTTCTCAGATTTGAAATTTGCTGAGCAGTGAGTGCATTTCTCAAAACAGCACATACAAATAGCCAAACAGCATGGATTACCTGCAAAGGCCAGTCTCTTGCTTAAAGTCCTTGGTTCATCTCTCAATGAACATGTCAGTGCCGTCAGAATGACAAGTCCTTGTGTCATTGTGTACGGATAAGACAGTCAAATTACTTACTCATGTTGTCAATGTAACAGCGTACTCTGGATGGACGTCCTCATGTAAGCTACGGCTAATTTATTTCTTTTTTTTTGCGGCTTGTACTGTGATTCGTTGCCAGATCATGTCATTGTGATACAGAAAGAAAAAGACAGCACTCCATAGGACAAAGAAAACAAAAAACAAACCCAAAACAAAAGTAGAAATGTGAACATAGGACAATCTCCTTTCAGATACACCTCACCTTCATTAGACAAAGTCCAGATTGACCTGGGAGCAATTTACCAATTATAGATTTAGAAAAAAACGTCTAATGGAAATGTACAGAAAAATGCATTATGACTAAATATTATGACAACTTGTTCCACTTCTTTTATATATAACATATAACTTGACATTAACTTTGTTCTCACACCCCACTGGTCATTTTTACGAGACAAAATTTCTTTGTTGAAAACTGTAAATTTGACTTTTGCATGCAAAAAGTACTTGAGTAGGAGACATTTTACTCGATTTGGGTAGTTAAAATAACTCTGACTACCAATATAATGATATAGGTAGCCTATATCTGCTGTAGTAACTTAAAACCTACAGTAGTTTGACAAAAAAAAAAGAAAAAAAGACCAAAACAATACCCATTCTTGTCTTAAGGAAATTTTTATTGAGCAATTTTTTGAAGAACAGTAAGTTCATGACATGTTAAATATATAGCATATTCTGCTGGTTTTAAACATACATACGTAATAATAAATACAGTCATGTAACAT